GATCATTTCTGATTTATTCTCACAAGCCTCCTAGGTGACATCTGCAAATTCAGCTAAAAAGTTACTTTGAGACTTTTTGTACGATATTGCTATATTGCAGCTTGCGGCTCAGTCAGCTTAAACCCAGCCTCAGCCTGTCTGTGTACCCTTGAGCAAGGCCCTTAACCCCCAGCACCCTGGATGCCCCAACAAAGCAAGTTGAGGGAGGCGTAAAGAAATTTTCCCCAGGGCGATCAATAACGTATCAATTAATATTATCTCAGGGCAATATTGCCATTAATTTCCTATGGGACACTAGTTCAGACTACAAACAGCAGAGGGTGCCAGTCAATCATTTTCCAGAGAAACTTACTCTAAAAACCTCAGTGGCCACCAGCTGCCTCCCGCACCCCCCCACTCCTCTTTTGTCGACAACTATAACTCAAGTTTGTAATTTTCCACACAGACAATAGACAAAATCCAGCCCCTCCCCCGGAGATCAGCTCCAGAGCCCAAGCCGTGCGTTGAGGTGAGCCTGACTATATCTAGCTGAGATCTCTCTCTATCTCCTACAATAGGTCAGGCTCCTTTCCCACCAGTGAGGTAACAATCCATGTGCCTTTAACCAGATCTGGATGCTGACCATCGAGCCCCTGTCTTCGAATGCCACCCGATCTGTACTGCGCCTGACCTCCTGTGGTCCTTCCTGCAAGTGGTGGGCTGAAAGCAGGGTGGATCCACATATTTCTTTCGGGATATGTCGACTGGGTCCCATGGGTAGAAGCCCAGTGACCGGCACTTACCCATGAGCTCCCTCCAGGACTGGCCAACCCCAGTACATCCCATTAATCTTTATTGGGGTCTTTGTGAAAGACCAGTTCAACTTCGGAGACCCTACCAGAGCAATTGCCCCAACAAGAGGTGCACAACATCATCTCTCAGGAAAAGGTGGCGATTCATGGAAGAGGTATCGATTATGATTAAAACTTTACAATTAAATGTATCTAGTAGGACATCCACTAAGTTGGCTATCATGAGAGGTAAAATTTAAATGATAACTTTAAACAGCCATGTATGCCAGTCTACTAATGCATCTGGAAGGCAGGTATATAGATTGATGAAAGGAAATGCGTCTCTCGGTTGCTATCATGCATCTGGTTATTAATGAAGGTTCAGGTGGACAAAAAGCCCATTGGATGAAGGGTTCATTCTCAACCCTGTACGCGATAAAGGAGAGCAGAGACAGGAAGGCGTTCATAGGGCGAGGCCCATCATTAAACGGAGGCCAGGCTCAATCTCAGTTTCATTGATGCCAGCACATTGAAGGGGTTTGTTAATGCCTACAGTTCTCCGAAGGCATGAGAGCCCCCTGGGAGATACAGGCTTTTACAGCAGAATGCTATTAGCTCATCCCTCAAGCCATGAGCAACCTGAAGACAAGGAGGTCATAAGTAAGGCTGCGTTGGCCGGGAATCGAACCCGGGTCAACTGCTTGGAAGGCAACTAAGCTAGCCACTATATCACCAACGCTGTGGCTGAAGGAGCTTTGGAGTGATGTTCTTTTTCATATTGCATATTCGCTGCTACCGAAAGCTTGGCGACTCAGATTTAC